AAAGTAGTCAATCGATAGAAGAGGAAATCAGCTACAAAACTGCATTGAGTACCCGCTAAATTATAGGAAACGCCTTCACTATTGTGCTATCTAAACACCACCTTCGCTATGTCACGTTGTTCTTGCTCTTGGTTGACCTCAACCCTTATCAATCCTTGGTGCGCATGCTGGATGTTAACAAGGAGAACCTTCCCAGTCAAATCAAGAAGGGTGACTTCTCCGTCGAAGACAGCGATAGACCTAGGCGCTCAGTGGCACTTGGACTTGGATTTGCTACGGAACCAAGTAGGCTCAAACTACTCATAAACTGGTCAGCAGTCTTGTTGTTTCCCACACAACCGTTATTTATAGATCGATCGGCAAGGTCCGAAACACTATTGTAAAACGCAACATGGATCACAGCGTAGGCATTCGCTCTTCTTGCTCTACAGCGCACGCATGCGTGGCTCGACAACCTTGTGATGAGAATTGGATACACATACCACACCCCACCTTTCTCAGGGAAATGACTACTAGGCGTTACCAGACGATGGAGTGTCAGTGATTGACAACGTTTGAAACTACTTGTGGACAGCAGACAGTGTTACTTCCAGGAGTGAGCTGACGACGTAGGACGTGGAACGTAGCCACTCACGCACCTTACTCTCGCACTATCCGGCTAGCACCAATTTTCAGATCTTCAGCGCCATTTGAATGGCAAATATTGCAAAAGACGTGATGACATCGGAGAGGAACCAGAGACATTCTTTGAGGTCCAGCAGCAGCGTTCTGAAGGGAAGGCATCCATAATCTACCTGTGCACTGGCAGAAGACCGTAGATAGTATACTGATGGATGACACACAGTATACGAGGTGAAGGATACAATGAATGGAGAAGAGTTGGGTGCTCCATGGTTCAACATTCGTCCTGCTCTGTGGCACACTTCAGAAAAAGACCCGCCCCAGCAAACCACATCGTGAACCTCAAGAAAATTTTAATGTGTTGCTTCTGTGATTAGAGAGGTGCGCTACGAGCTACTCGGCGAGAGTATACGGTCAATATTGTCATATATGCCACTCACTGCAGAAGTTCTGTTCCAGAAAAACGGCCGAAACGAGAAGCAGTGCATGTCCTTCCATGATAGCGCCGGACCTCATACCCGATCCTCCGAACACTGCTCAAATATCCTCCGATCACCTCCTGTTCCGCCCCTCAAGGGTTTTTAGCTAAGAAAGAGAACCTCTAGTGATTGGATGACATTTGCCAAGATCTCACCTACCCCGTCGACTCCCTAATCTGGGAGAAGGGGATTGTTTACCTTTCCATTAGGTGGGGCTCTATAGTGGCTAAGAATGGCGATAATCAGATTCCATGTCTGGCCGCAACGAGTAGGAGGGTCGTGGCGGTTGCGTCGTAGGCTTTGTTCAGACATGGAATCTGATACAAAACGTACCGCCACATTTGTTCGGTCTGGTTCGTGAAGCTCTATCGCTTCGACAAAAAGTGGTGTCCATTCGTCAATCGCTACTATTCTTGCAACGATGTAAAGCGACCGGAGTCCTCCCAAAGTTCATCACAAATAAGAAGTTAGGAGCAACATGTTGTTTGTCGGAATCTGATCGCAGGATTGTGAACATATATCGTTCCTTGCTAGATGTTGTTGCACGATAGAAGCAATATTTGTTGTCTTCCACTTTGTTAAAATGTAATGCTAAGGGAATCATGCCGACGCTTTCTTTCAAATAATAGTTGGAGAGCGATTGAGAATGGTTCAAAGCGGATCTGCGATTCTCTCCGGTCTAGAATGAAATCAGCGCTTTGCGCTAAGTACGACGCGCTCAGGAGCGAACAAATTAGTCGCAGTTCAACCACAGAAGCTCCACCGCGATAGGCCACACGTTTGAGCATCTGTTGAACAAACCACATACATAACGCCACAAACGACAAGGGTAACGGTCATCGGTGACGTAAGCATTTCACGCTCTGCTGTTAACTTCCTCAGTTATCGTTTAGGGCCTCTTTTCCCTTTCCACAGGGCATTAACGTTCATGTCCGACGTTCATTGAGGAGAGGAGGTAGTCGGCGCAGCTACCGAAGCCTCCGCGACTGGGATAAGGGCAAGACCTTGCAACAGCACGCGCATGGCAAACTAATGACGGGAGGGCCTTGAGAGAAACTATCTTGTTGCATGCTGCCGCTTCAAGGCCGTCTTTCTCCTATGAGAGCCGATCCTGCATCCTGAGCTGACTCGTCCAAGTTTCGGCTCTTTTTCATCTGAAGTCCGTCACATCTGCTCAATGGCACATGACGGTAAGAACCACAAACGGGTTGACCGTGCTGAACAGTTGGATGATTGGGGTTCAAGGAGGTACGAGACAAAATTAGACGCGGAGAGATACGCCTATCCGTGAGGGTGGAGAATTTGTCGTTTTTACCTTGCCAGCTAGATCGTCAAATCACGGAGCTGCACCTCAGCGACGCCTCCATTTACTCGCGAGCAACAGAAAGAAACTTTCTGCTGCAGTGTCATAGGTTGAACACGGCATGGAACTTCAGTAGGCAAGGCAGTTGATTGGCATGCGATTTTTACAGCAGCAGCATGGATTGGATCACCCGACCTGTCCCCTATTTTAAGCCTAATCGAAACGCACGGAAGCTGTCAACAAGAACAGCATGCGGATCCATGCGTGGCAGTGTTATATTCAAGATAACGGCGAATATAGCTGTGTAGGAGGACCGACGATCGTTGATCTCATCGCGTTTCTCAAAATAAAATACATTCACGTGCCCGCCCATCTTGGAAACCAAGAAATTTCATCGGATCGTGCTTTGAAGCGGGAGCGCCATATACTCAGCGGCTGGCTGTATAGTAGAGTCTTTGATGTGACTGCACTCTATACGAATGTGAATAACGGAGAGGCTCTCCAGGCACTTTCCGAGATGCTCGATGAGCACATTCAAAGCATAAACGCGTTCCGATTAGAGGAGTCGCACATTATGACCATGGTCCTATAATGCCTGAAGTGTAACATCTTCAAATGGAATAGAGCATATTATTCACAAAATCGTGGACTGGCAATGGGACGTTTGGCACCCGTCTTGGCAATTTGCTTTATGAGCAAAATTGAACAACCGGTGCTATCACGTCTTCCCATAATGTATTGCCGTTACATCGATGACTGCTGCGTTATCACGTCCACTCAGTCCGAAATGGACGAGCTGTTCAACATTCTTAACCAGCAGTCACAATACATTAAGTTCACACGGGAGATTCCACGAGGAGATTGGCTGCCCTTCCTGAACACGCAAGTCAACATAAATAACGGCGTGTATAGGGTAAAATGGTACCGCAAGGACAGCTCTAAAAATATTCTTATAAATGCCAAATCGGCACATAAATAACGGCGTGTATAGGGTAAAATGGTACCGCAAGGACAGCTCTAAAAATATTCTTATAAATGCCAAATCGGCACATCCCAAGGCTGTGAAGTACGCTGTGCTACGAAACATGTTCCGAACAGCCAATGAAGTTTGCACAGGACAGGAGGAGCGGGAAGAGTCTCGAAGGCTGGCTTGTGAGATTGCTCGTCAAAATGGCTATTCAACCCAACGACGAGTATCGAACTCACGTAGACAGTCTGGCGATAACAACAGACTTCTTCTCCAAATCCCTTTCATCTCGGACAAAGTCAGTGCTGCAATAAAACGATGCCTTGTTCGAACTGGTTTGGCAAATGATGTCGTTTTGGTCAATATCCCAAGGTCTAACATCAAACGCCAGTTAGTTCGCAACAGGCTATACGACCGCTCCTGTAACACGGAGAGCTGCATTGTTTGTCCGTATGGAAGAGGAGGGGATTGTGAACTCCGTGGTGTGATTTATCAGCTGCAGTGCTCAACCTGTGACGAAACATATGTAGGTGAAACCGGTAGGCCGCTGAAGGTGCGCGTTAAAGAACATCTTGCAGGAAAACGGCGAATCGACCCTCTCACGCCTCTCGGTAGACACCGATTTGAAAGGCATGGCGGGCAGGACTTCGCAGTGAAGTGTACTGTACTGAAACGCGTGGACCCTAAATTGTAACAACAGGAGTGAGTGCTTGTCCGTCACCGATGAATTCCTACCATTCATATCACTATGTGAGCTGTTATCACTCTTCTGCATATACGCATCCGAAGCATCATGCAGAACGTCTCACTTGCTCCAGTGGTCGGTTGTCGCGTGGTTGATATATAGGAACTCGGCGCTGGTGGAACAGTAGTGGGTGAGTGATAATGGTTATCTCAGATGTATGCCTGAAAATCGTCGCACGGGCCAAAGCCAACGTGTGATCGGACTGAGTGGTAGATTTGCACAATGATACCACTTTCAGGCCTTGATAACGACGATTTGTTCGAAACGTCGGCCCTAATAAACTGTTCCATCATAACAAACCTCTACGGCACAGAAGCATCACGTATATAAATGGCGATAATGTTGTTGATTAATTTCTGTTGTGTTGAGTTGAAGAATAAAGAAAAAACCATACAGTGACAACTTGTAACTGGCTGAGCACTTAGTGTATAGTTGGGAAAAGCAGAAAAGTCCTTATGTTGTGGACTATTATTACTCTGCTGTCATCCTATCTGCTCAGTTAAATATTCGAACTAGTAAACACTCTCGGGCAGTGCTTCTGTTTTAAGAAGGCAATTTTTATCTGTGTTGTCCAGAATTCTTGTCCCATGACCCTCTTTTCGAGATAAGCGATAGAATCTGAGAGGAGGAACTGTAATTGATGACTAGCTTGTTGGAGAAATGCGAATGAGTGTCACAAAAACAAGAGTCGTGTCTTCCGAGGATACCATGAATTCTTACAATGTGAAAAATTTCAGTGTCTCGCTCGTATGCCAGAGGACTTCATGTACCATCCGTGGCAGGCCATCATGATTTCACTTTGTGGAGTCAATAAACGAAAACTTCCACGGCAGAGAAATCTGGTATTATCACGAGATTTAAAAAATGCCGCGTGATGTATGTTATATTTTTGAAGGACCGGCAAATGTGGTCATCAGCGGAGTGCACTGCTTTTCGTCAAGTACTAAACAAGTTCCCGCTGGTGAAAACTCGTACAGTGAAATCTTCTATAGTGCACAATGATTACAGAAGACCTGTTCAGGTGACTGGTTGTAACATCTATTCGTCTGATTGCCTAGTTAGAATTAGGGTACACTGTCCGTTGACAGGGCGAATGAAGGGTTCGTGAGCGCCGGGTTCAGTAAACACGAAACAGTGAAACAGTACCTTCATCAAGAGGATTTGGGGAGCGGAACTTGCGCCTTGTTAGCAATCATCGTAAAAAGCACTTGGAAAATGAAACTCTCAATAAGATACGGGTAGAGGCACCTGATTGTAAGTCTGCCTTCATCTTTGCGTCAATGTCCACAGGTCAGCGAGCTAATCGAGGGTTAGAAATGTATGGAATATCCACCTAGCGAATGTCAGCGTCTCGAGAGATTAAGGAAGTGTAGATATTGATCTGAGAACACCACGTCATCTGGCGTACAGCAGCGTTTTGCAGGCACTTTTGAACTTGAGCATAACTGCCCTCAAATACGCTGCGAGACGGACGCGGGCGCAGCGGACGCTGGTGGACATTGGCGTTCGCTGTATCAATTCCTAATCTTCCCTAGTAGCTCGAGACGTTGGTGAACAGCTGGCGAACAGCTGGTAGACTGCTAGCCGTCCGCGCAGATTGATTCTGCGTAACTTTCCTAGTGCTGGCGAAGCTGGCGATGGAGTGTCTCTGACGAAAAAGAGTATGAACGCACCGTCCTGCAATAGTCCTTTGCGTAAAAAGCATTTTCATAGTATAGGAAACAGCATAACTTATAGTCCTCACTCTGATTGAATGACCCTAATACCTGGGGTAGTAAGCCTAACCAAAACGAATGACAGTTGTCACTACTTGTGTGCGTTCAAGTTCTCTGATAGCTCAGAATTTTGAACGTCAGAGTATGAAAAGGAGCTGGAACCGCATGAATTGGCATGACCCATTTTCCGGCCTGTTTGCCCTATGTGAAAATATTGCTTATGCCAACGTTACTGACTGTCAGACAGATTTTGATTTGATTTTTCGTCTTTCAGGTAGAACTTTATGGTATTCCTGATGGGCATACCGATACATCTCCAGATGTCGGTGTTTGCATTGCCGCTCTCTTCGCGGCTGAGCTTCGAGGACGGTTGCAACTTCGCCGCATAGTGGATGCTTCAAAGTTCTCTCCTGACGACAATAACAACAAGGTTTCTTTTGAATGTTTCGTTTTTTGTTCCAGTTTTCGCAGAACCATATGTGATGTGTATGGGATACAACCTCCGCTGATGGTCATCTTTTTACAGTACTCGGACCCTCCACCATTACGAGAAATTCCTCCATTCCGAAGAACTTTTCCATCTGATTGGAAGCGTGATTCAACTTCAGCAGATCTGTTGTCTCATAGCAGTGAGCTAGCGAAAGTGTGGCGCGAATGGTCACCACGAAAGGCTCGAATTCCACCTCTGGAGGTCAAATGGTTGAATGATCACGGGTTCGTTGTCGAAAATTGCTTTGTTTAATTTGATATTCATGGAGAGAACATAGAAGGGTTACTGATTCTATTAGGGTGTGGAAATTTTGAGAAATTGCAACCAGCTCATTTAACACCTATCAGCAACAGTAAGAGATAGGAGTTCATACTTATAATAGACATTGTCCATCCCATTTCCCTTACATTTGGGCGGGATTACTTCGCGTGGGAGTTAGTAATGAAGTGAGTAGCGAACATGCGGGGGCGTACGCAACATCCGCGCTAAACTTCCACGAAGGCCGATTGATCTTCTGCCCACAAGGGAGATGATGAAGTGAAAGGCATTGGGAGTCGTACGCGCTCGCACATTTTTCAGGTAATGTGTAGTCATACCAACCATGGGGAATACCACCAACTAGCATTAAGATTGATCTACAAACATTTCTCTTTCTCATAGCACTTGATATACGCCTTTA